GTGTCGGGCTCTGTGTTTGGCTGTGAATGGGCAAGGTATTTTTCATGCTAAAAGCCGGGTATTGCAGAGTGAAGACTGCAGTGTGGGAGGATGACTCTGGTTGAGTCCCAGGTACAGAGGTTTGGTCTTCCGGCCAGTCAATTGCGCTTTCTAGAGCTGGGGAGGGTGGCGGGGGGAGGTGGAACATGACACCTTTCTGTGGATCTGTGTGGATGTGGGCTTTTCAGTTGCTTTTGGAGTATAACTTTGAGTAACCTGACTTTCTGTTTTAAAAACAAAGATGCATTACGTGTTGGCTTGTCTGGGAAGCAGGGAAAGGCAAGCGCAAGAATGAAGAGGGCTCGGAACAGAGTAAACAGCCTGCGCTTGACTAAGAAGTCTTCCCAAGCCAGTGCTTTCCCACCGCAGGAATTGGGGGGGCAGGAATCCCCCCCCCACAGACATTGGGCTCCCCCGGGTACAGGCAGGGCTGGGCCAGGACATTTGGGTGCTGTGGGCCAGATTCCAACGGATGATCTTTCAACACTTACTTGTCATCAACCTTTTCATGGAAGGCGGTAACCTGATGTATCACGAAAAATGACACGCCTCCCTAACTTCGCAATAGGAACTGTATTACATGAATTTATTACAAGAGATTTTCCAAGTCAGACAACCACTTGGAGGCCTATTAAATGATTTAACATTTAGGGAGTAAAACCAATCACTCATTCCCAGGGAGCAGCCCTATGCATGCATAACCGAGTTTCAGAACTGTGTCTGCCCACACCCCCAGGCTTGCCAGGTCTCTCCCGGGGTTGGTCTCAGAGCCGGGAGAAGGGGCGAGCTCCGTGGGAATGAGTGCCCTGCCCCATGTGCTCGACAGTGAGGGGGTCACAGCAGCTGGAGAAGGACAGCCTAAGCTCAGGGCTGGCATTCCCACTTTCCCAAGGTGTTTTACGCCTTCTTATGGGATGCCGATCGGAAAGTTGCTTGGCTCTTTAATCTGCCTGAGGTTACAGACTCAAACTAAAATAATCAAACCCCACGGAGCAGGTTTCTCCCCTTGGCACGCTTGGACTTGGATAATTTGTTCGAGAGACTGTCTTATGCATTGTAGGGGTTTTAGCAGCATCCCTGGCCTCTACTCACTATGCCAGTAACAGCCTCCCTCACCACAGTGTGACAGACAGAAATGCCTCCAGGTACTGCCAGGTGTCCTTGAGAGCAAACACTTCCTGGGAGAATCCTGCTTTGGGAAGAGGAAGGAAGGAAGGGCAGTGAGCATCTCTGGTGCTGAAACCCCAGGAGAGCCTTGTCTGCAGAGCTGGGTCAAGTAAGAGGTTCTCAGGGAAAATGTGAAAGGGAGTCTCCATTTCTCGCCAGACTGAAGGGAAAGCTTTTAAGCAGTTTCATTTCAGAAAGATGTCTGGTGATTTAAAACACACACACACACACACACACACACACACACACAAACTTTATTGTTGGGAGTATTACAGATGTCCCCTTTTTGGTGATTTTTTACTGAGATGGGGTATTAGAAGATTAGAAATAGTTGTTTTGTTTTGTTGTTTTTAAAACCAGCAAATCAAGGAAGGTTCCAGAAGTGTTCTGATACTTTTAGGAAATGCATTTTTGAGCCCTCTCCCCACCATGTTTGTGGTTCTCATGAGACTGGACTAGGGAGCCTTGCGCCACCTGGTCTGCCAGTTCTTCATGGAGAGGATGATCCCGAGGGTCCTAGTGGACCCTGTGTGCAGCAGGTGGGAAAATGGGCAGGAGCGCTCCCAGCTTCCGCTGGGCAGGGGACACCGGCACTCAGAGGGGACTGTGTGAGTGGTAAACATGTACTGAAGTAAAGCCATCGGCGTTCACACATGCAGACACAGGGCACGTGCCGTTCCTGGCACTAAAAATCTTCCTCTCAGTAACAGAGGGCAAGAGAGATGAAGAAAGAGGCTGCCACCCCAGTTGGTAATTAACAGAGTTTATTAGGGGAAACTCACAAGGCATGTCTTGGAGGCTGCAAGAGGAAATAAATGGATCATCACGCTGCTTGGCAGGCACCAAAGAATTATATAGGGAAAGGGGGGTGGGAGGCCAGTCACGGGTGCTAGTGCATGCGTGCTTCCAGGTGCGGAAATTACTTCACATGCTTGACCAGCCTGTAAACAGCCTGTTCCAGGAACCAGCTCGTTGCAGGAGGCAAGGGAGGGGCGCTGATTTATGTCAGAACGAGCATCAGTTTCTGTCCGTGTCTAAGGGGGCTGCAGGGAGCCCTCTCCCACTCTGGCCCAGGTCCAGCTTGCCGGTCCCGCCGCGGTCACAGCACGGAACTTTCTCTCCTCCACCGTCGAGAGTGGATGATGGTCCTGGAGTACTGGTTTGCAAGCTGTACCCTTCCAGCAGCTGGCATGACTTTTCCTCCAATGACATGCAGAAACCCAATGTGAACAACACGGGTCAGACCCAGTCTGAAGGCAGGTGGGGAGGGGCCTGCAGTGCCCACCGCTCAGCGCACCTCGGAGCTGGCTGTTCCAAAGAGGTAGCATTCCTGGCGGACTGAAATAGGCTAATGCTTGGCTGGACAGCCATCTTTTTCCTTTCTGACTGGACCTATGATCTTTCTTCTATTTCAAGTGAAAGTGGTTTTCAAAACCATAAACCTGGATGAAGATAATAATACTGGTCTGTTGCTGTGTAGTTTTTATTCTCAATCTATAGAAGCAGATTCAGGGCTGAGAAAACACATACATGCATATAATATGTCCATATATTATATGCATTTATTAGAAGTATTTTGATGCTTTATTATGAAAAACTTAATGATGCAGATAGAGAAAAGAGAACTGTCATCTCCTAAATTTAAACTGTCATTTTTTTTTCATATTAGCTTCACACATTTTTTAAAACTTCTAATGAATAAGAATTTGCAAAAACAAACCATAACAAGTCTGGGAATATTTTTACCACATTCTTGCATCCCCTGCCCTAGTTCATTTTACAGATTTACAATGTAATTTGAATTTAGTTTGATTCAACATGCAGGAGTTAGATGGGCTGGTCTTCATTCAACAATAATTTTGGGGTGCCTCGATGTACCAGGACCTGAGCAGACAGTGACGAACAAATTAAACATCTAAGCATAGCTCCAGCCCCGGTTTTATTAGAAATACAAGCTTTTGCTGTGGCTGGGTAGCTCAGTTGGTCGGAGCGCCATATTGATATGCCAAGGTTGCAGGTTCGATCCCCAGTCAGGGCTCATACAAGAATCAACCAATGAATGCATAAACAAGTAGAACAAGTCGATGTTTCTCTCTCTGTCTCTCCCTTCTTCCCCCTTCTCCCCCCCAAAAAAAATAAAAAAAAAAGAAATGCAAATTCTTCAGTTGTTTGTCTGGGAAACGGAAGAAAACGAGTTCTGTGCCATGGGGAGGGGTAGCTGGTGAGGAAAAGATCTGGGATGAGGGTGAATTTAGAGGCGTTGGGGAGCAAGCCCGCCCACAGTGTGCTGGTCCCATTCTTGAGTTGGCAAGGCGCTTGGTGCACGTAGCTCCTGCAGCCTGGGTGTGTGTGCAGCCTGGGACTGGCTTTCCTGCTCACAGCTCAGCAGCTCAGCGTCACAGCTGGGGCACTGCATGGGGCCAGCCCCGGGGGTCAGCTACCATAGGGGCAGAGCTGTTAGATGGGCTGGTTATTCACTCTCTGCCTTGCAAGGCAAGGATCTGGTGATCAGAGTTTTTTGTTTTCTAGTAGCGATTACTCTGCTATTTTTATTAGTCAGCACATAAAAGGACATAATACACAAGTATCTTACCTAAGAGAAGTAGCCCATTGGGAGCACCTCGAGTTTCCCAGGCCCCCTGTTCAGCTCCGGCCCGACTTGCCCTCCCCGCTGGGCTTCAGCTCTCTCCTCCATCTGAAGAAAGGCGGGGCTGTTGCCTTTCTGTCGAAGGGTGACTTCTATCAGATGTCCATCCAGGTGGGATCATTTGCAATGTGCCCTGTCCTACGTCCATTCCCCCGTGAGCTGTTGTGTGCAAAGAGCAGGAGAAGGAAGCAGTCTGAGTGTAGGTCTCTATGCTTATTGACCTTACCCACCTAGCCTTACAGGGATGAATCAATAACCTGTCTTTAAAGATTCCATAGCAAAGGCGTTTTCAGGACAGAAAGTACATTTGGGGAAGCTTTGGTTTAGGCTGGAAATACAAGCCAGGTGCTTTCTCACTGAGTTTAATATTTGGTAATGTTTTTGGTGGGTCTTCCTATGTAGATGCCAGCCTGACTCACATAATGGAATACAAGGGGTAGAATGAGTCTGAAGGAGATACTGGGCCCTGGTTATAGGTGGAAACACAAGGTTTGTTTTCAAATGGAGAGCGTTTGAAAGCAGGAAAATATTCCTCTTGGATTTTGTGACTGCTTTAAAAATGAATTGCTGCCCTAACCCTTTTGGCTCGGTGGGTAGAGTGTCGGCCTATGGACTGAAAGGTCCCCAGGTTTGATTCTGGCTAAGGGCATATACCTGGGTTGTGGGTACATTCCTAGTAGGAGGTGTGCAGGAGGCAGCTAATCGATGTTCCTCTCTCATTGATGTTTCTAACTCTCTATCCCTCTCCCTTCTGCTCTGTGAAAAATCAATAAAATATATTTAAAAAAAAATAAAAATGAATTGCTTTCATGAATGAGCTTTGTGGCCCCCCAAATATGTTTGTGCTGACAAAAATGATAATACCCCATTTCGTACAATGTAATTCACATGCTAGTTGCATGGGTGGAGGGAGGGGTGTGCAGAAGACTTTGGGTTGATTTTCTCATCTTTAAACAGGGAAGGTGGGGTTGACATTTCAATCACGTCTCTCTTCCCTCACTTTACAAATCGGTGGGAAGTGGGGTAGTCGGTCACATGTTTGCAGTGAGATTGCTTTTCAAAATGCTGCAGGGCCGGTGCCTACGTGGCGGGGGGGGGCAAGAGTTCACAGTGGCCTGCGGGTGACTTCTTCTTCCCTCTCCGGCAGGAAATAACCACGTGTTTACCAGACTACTACAAGTGGACGCAGTACCTCTTTATCAAGCTCTACGACGCTGGGCTGGCCTATCAGAAGGAGGTAAGTCCAAGTTAGCTGCACTTTAAATAAATTTCCTCCTTCCACTTAGAACACACCATTGTTAAACAAGAAACAAAGACGCCCTATTTGCCCAGGAGCCTTGAAAATGAACATGACCTCAAGTTCATGGCCTGGGTCGCAGTAGATCCAGAAAGTAACGACGCCCGGCTTAGGTTGCTGCCTCCAGGACAGGGCTTGGTTCTTTCGCGCTTGAATTCCCAGCACGTAACAGTGCCTGGTGCCTGGGCTGAGATCGGGGAGGCGGGGGGAGCAGAAGAGGAGTGCAGGCTTCCCAGACCCTAGCTCAGACCCCTCCCAACTGTGCGCTGGGTCAGTCACCTCCAGGAGTGTGGCTCTCCTGCTCAGTGGGTGGTGACATCGTTGCAGGGTCTTGGAGGACAGAGATGCTATTTGAAGAACAACCATCACAGTGCCTACCGAGTGGTCTCCGAAGAAGGGGAGGAGCGTGTCACGGTGGGAGCTCAGTAACAGTGGATGCTCCTGAGATGCTGGGGAGGAGGGAGAGCGTCAAGCGTGGCCTGGAACTTTGCTGTCCAGTACTGTAGCCACCAGTGGCATGTGGGGTTGATATTTAAGTTTAAAGTAATTGAGGTTAATTAACATTAAGATTGAGGTCCACATTCACGTGCCAGTAGCGAAGATTGGACATCACGGATCTAGAACATTTTCCATCATCACAGAACATTCTGTTAGACAACGTGGGTCTAGGAAATTCAGAAGTAACAAGTGGAAGTGGCATAAATCCTTTGGCCAGAGGGATTTAAGGACACAGAGTCACATTTACTGTTCTGTGGGTCACTTCACACTGCTTGGTCTTGCAATGAATAATACCTACAGAATCACTATGTGTTAGGTTTGAAAAGCTTTAGAATCAATCTAGTGATGGATGCAGAAGGCTCAACTTGAATTTCGGAATAAAACAAAGATGTCTTGAACCTTAACAACATAAAAATAATGTAGCAACAAAAACCAGGAGGTGAACTTGGGGAAGAAAAATAGAAGCAAGTGTGAGAGCATCCCTTCATCTTTCTCAGCAAGGAGTCAGAGATGAAAAGTTAGAGGTTTACATCTATGTGTTTTTTTTTTAAGTTAGAAAGGTAGCTATTAAAGCTAACAAAAATAGGGCGAACTAGAAGAGGGGTCGAGGGTGGGAGGAAGGCTGTATGGCCGACCATGCTGAGTGTCCACCATGCATGGCCCAGGGTCCCCAGCGCTGTCTAAAGACAATGTCCAAGACGGAAGCATACTTTTATTATTTAAAGTTACAGTGTAAATACCAGAAGACTGAATGAACAGAACCTGTTAAAAGTGGAAGGGTGATTTAATAACCACTTCACATAATTGTGAATATTCTTCTTTGATACTATAGCAAAAGTCAACAAGTGGTTGTTTCTTAAACGTTAGCTGCAGTGTTGAATCTGAAACATCGGTGACCTTTTTGTACTCTGTTAAATTGAAATGGATTGGACTGGTCTGTCTTGCACTTTGCATGGATTTTTCACCTCTGCATAATTTTGTAACATCATACATTAGGCATTTGGAAAATACAGTACAGTGAGTTATGCAGCTCTTCCAAATGTTGACATATTTCATTGTACAATGTCAGCCACAATGAAGCTGTGAGCTCATGATGGGCAGGTACAAGCTTTCCAAGCCCTCTACTTGGGAGAACATGAGTTTACCTCTGTGATTTAAAGAAGGTTATTCTGTGGATGTAGTTAGTAGAGAGACGAATGATGTTGCCGGGTGCTTGGACATTCAGGGGAACTATGGAGAGTTCCTATCTAGGAGTTTGTCTTTGGCCGTCTCCATGACTTTGGTGGCAGCAGCTGGTGGCTGTGCTAATTCAGCCTCCTAAGCTGGGTGTGCAGTGCGGCCTGGTCTCCAGGAAGCGCACGGCCTCTCCCAATTTTCCCCCTGGGGCTGTGGAAGGTGGTAGCAGTAGCCTTGGGACCCACCCCCTTCCCCTGGACTCCGTCCAAATTTGGCCCATTCTGGATGGAATGGGGCAATATTGATTTTGAGAATTACATCCTTTAATAAGATCTATGTGGTGTTCCTTAATTAAGCACCCCTTTGTCAAGAAAAAAGCTAATAGCCTTTGAGAAAATCAATACCCTGAACCACATACTTTACCAGCCTTCTGGAGCCAGAAGCTGCATGTCAGTGTCCTCAGAAAAGGGGTAGCAAAGCGGAGCCTGGGGAGGAAGCAAGGACAGCTATGGGAGGAGCCGGAGGCCTGAGGAGCGATGCCCTGGCCGGGAGACAAAGGCTGATGGAGGGTGATCTGGACAGGACAGGCATCCTATGCAAAGCGAGGCCCAGGGAGGTGAGGGGAGAGAACCCAAGCAAGAGGAAGATGAGATGAGAAAAGGTGAGGGGTGGCACAGGAGGCCGCGGGCAGGGGGCACCGCAGCTGCTGTGTCGCAGAGAAGGGAGCGTATAAGCTCAAAATCAGGATGTCGCCGCCTTGAGGATCCCCAGTGGAGCCCACAGTCGCCAGCATCCCTGAGAGCCTAATGGTGTCATGGAACACATTCCTAAAATGCTTTCTAAAAGCTTCCCATCAACACCCAGACAAAAAAAGGTTATTCCTCGTGTTTAACCCTGGATCAGCTGGGGACATTCTCTTATTTGGAGCCCCTCTTTCTGCAGAGTTACCAGATGACTTGTGTGAGGGAAGCAGTGGGCCAAGTGGGCTGGAGCTCAGTGTTTGCAGGCGTTTCAGCCACTTCCGTATCGACTGAAGGTTGATTTTAAAGTTCAGATCCTGCCAGTGTGGCTAGTGAACGGTAGAGGAGCGTGGAGTTGGCTTCAGCGGGGAATAGGGAACACACATGTCAGCCAGGTGAGGTTGTCCAGAAACTGTATTCTATGTAGCAAGACTGTGCTTGCCTGATAATCAGGGTGTCCATCAAAGTACATGTTCAAAACGTGGACATCGGGGATGTTGTAAAGAGCCCTGGCTCCGAGGGAGGCCGTGTGCTAGAGACCGTTAGTGAGAGAGGAGACCCGGGAAAGGGCGTTGGGAGCAGCTCCAGGGCGTGGAGAGGCTGCACGTGCAGCGCCCAGATGCCAGGGTCTTGCCTTGCGGCCACCCCTGGGGTAACACTCTCCCCCCGCTCCCCCTGCCCCCACCGCGGGAAGGCTGAGCCTGGACCCGGCATCTCTGTGGTTGAGGCGGATCAGATTGTGGGAAGAAACAAGAGTGGGTTCTCACAGTTGACGCATCTTTGATCTGAAATGCTATTTCCTTTGGTGTTTTTCCTCTTCCCCCAAGACTTTCTCTGGGGAAAAATTGCTTTTGTGTTTTGCTTTTATTTGTCTCTCATCCGACACCAGGGTTTTGTTATAACTTGTAAGCCTCTTAGGAACACACCTTCCTCCTTGCATTTTGTAACCTAGAGCGGGCGAGATGCCGGGGCCGTGTGGGAACTGTTGATAAGAAAATAGAGTCCTGTTTGTTTCTGCGATCGGCAGTATTGAGTGTTTGCTTCTTCCTGATCCTCTGAGATTGGTGGGGGGCGGGAGGCACAGATGGAAGCATATAGGGCTTTTTATCTCCGTTTTATATTTTATACAGTTTTAGTTCTGTGTGGGTTTTTGGGGAGGGCGTGGGGCGGGCTCCCATTTGAAAGAACTTTCCACAATACTAAACAACACTTGGTTCTTTCTTTTTACCTTATTATTTATTCATTCATTCATTCATTTATTCATTCATTTATTTATTTACTTATCTATTTCTATCCTTGCCCGAGGATATTTTTCCGTTGATTTTTAGGGAGATTGGAAGAGAGAGGGACAGAGAAAGAAACATCGATGTGAGAGAAACACATTGATTGGTTGCTTCCTGCAGAAGTCTCTACCAGAGCCTGGGCTGGGGAGGAGCCTGCAACCGAGGTACGTGCCCTTGACCAGAATCGAACATGGTACCCTTTGGTCTGCAGGCCGGCGCTCTACTCACTGAGCCAAACTGGCTAGGGCTACCTTATTTATTTTATTTTATTTGAAAATATATTTTTATTGATTTCAGAGATGAAGGGAAAGGGGGAGAGATAGGAACATCAATGATGAGAGAGAATCATTGATTGGCTGCCTCCTGCATGCCCCCTACTGGGGATCGAGCCCACAACCCCAGCATGTGCCCTTGACTGGAATGGAACCTGGGACCCTTCAGTTTGCTCTATCCACTGAGCCAACCAGCTAGGGCTGGTTATTTTAAATGGTATCCCTCCCAACACTTAATATAGGCAATAATAACAGATAAGTAAATCACTCTTGGTTTATCAGCCTAGAGTTTTCATCTCTAAGGTTAATATTTTATCTCTGTGTACTCAAGGCGTGGGGGGCCCTGGAATGAGAGGAGTCACTCACTGCATGGCTTTACCACTGACTGCAGGCTTCACAGGCTTACGTGTTTTGGTGGCCATGCTGCCTTCCAGTTGTAAAATCACTACCAACAGATGGGTTAGCCTATCCTCCACCCTCCTTTTTATGTAGATTTTACATATGTCTCTGGATCAGTCAGGGTCCAGCAGGAAGTAGAGGGTGCGGCCGAAAGGATCATGTTATAAAGGGACTGTTTCAGTAGGGTTAATGGGCGACCTCAGGGAGCAGGCACTGGAACTAGGAAGACAGTAACTGTGACAGAGGGCAGGGGCTGTGCCTTCGGTGTTCCAGCCACAGCCCGGCTGGAAGGAGGCCAGGGCGCCTCTCATTGGCTGAACCCAGCCAGAGGACAAGCCAGGGTGCAGAAGAGGGAAAGAGGATTTGGAGGGGCAAATAGACAATATTCGGCACAATCTCTTATTAGAATTGCTTATTAAAATTAAAAATAACAATGAGGACCTGACTGGTGTGCTCAGTGGTTGAGCATCCACCCATGAACCAGGAGGTCATAATTCGATTCCAGGTCAAGGCACATGCCTGGGTTGCAGGCTCCATCCCCAGTAGGGGGAGTGCAGGAGGCAGCCGATCAATGATTCTCTCTCATCATTGATGTTTCTATGTCTCTCTCCCTCTCCCTTCTTCTCTCTGAAAATCAATAAAAACATATTTAAAATAACAGTGCTTATCAAGCCAGGATATTTTAGTGCCCAAACTCTGTACTCATTGACTTCTTTGCACTAAGTTGTACCTAAATGTAGTAAAGAGATGACGTCAATGGCAGAGGTATTTATTTTACATGAAGATAGATGTGAATTAGAGCTATGGAGGGAAACTTCACAGTGGTTGAGATTACAGGGTCTCTCAGCCACATAAAAATATTCAGAAAGATCTCAAAAGATTGCTACCTTCTGGGGACAGATGTTGATTGCGAGAAGACACAACAGAATTTTGGGGGGTATTGGGAATGCTCTATATCTTGATATGGGTGGTGGTAAGATTTATTCGCACTACTCTACATATGTGATACAGTCATTTAAATGGAATAAAGTGACTGTTTTTGTAGGATTTAGGGAAGCCCTACTGTTACTAGCACCAGAGATAAAATTCTTAAAAAATTGCAGATAATTTTTACAGTTCCCATAGTCTGAGTTCTGATCCTGTCTCTCTCACTTCCTGGGTGACTTTTGACAGGTTATTTGACCTCTGTGCCTTAGTATTCTTCTTTGCAATGTAGGGATAACACTATTCATGCCTTAAAAGGTTGTCGTGAGGATGCGGAAAGCCAGCATTAGGAAGGCACTTAGCCAGCGTCTAGCACACGGTGGTCACTCGGTAATGGTTAGCTATTTATATTAAAGTTAATATACTCGTTTACCCTAAAATAACTGATTTCTGCTAGGCTCTAGGTACCATTGTTACTTCTTTTTTTTTTTTTTTAATATATTTCTTTATTGGTTTCAGAGAGGAAGGGAGAAGGAGAGAGAGATAGAAACATCAATGATGAGAGAGAATCATTGATTGGCTGCCTCCTGCACACCCCCACTGGGGATTGAGCCCGCAACCCAGGCATGTGCCCTTGGCCGGAATCGAACCTGGGACCCTTCAGTCCGCAGGCCGACGCTCTATCCACTGAGCCAAGCCGGCTAGGGCCATTGTTACTTCTTTTTCTCTGTTTACTCAAACTTCAAGTCCTGCCAGTTCATCCTTTCATGCAAGAAGATACCAAGCCTGAGCTAGACACGTGCTTACAGCTTCCGTCCGAAGCGTATTCTAATGAGAGGGAGGCACAGAGGCCGTTCCCTGCGCTTCTTACAGCTCGCTGGTGGTTTCCTGGCCGCACGGTACTCCGAGGGGATGCAGACTCCTCGAGTCCCCCAGCAGAGGCGCTGCGTTTGCAGATTCCTCACCTGGGAGGAGCCTCGAGGGGTCCTTCAGTGTCCTCACCATTTTGTTTCATGGTTGGTACAGGCCTTGGTTAACTGGGACCCCGTGGACCAAACAGTGCTGGCCAACGAGCAGGTGGATGAGCAGGGCTGTTCGTGGCGCTCCGGAGCGAAGGTGGAGCAGAAGTACCTCAGGCAGTGGTTCCTCAAGACAACTGCTTATGCAAAGGTGAGTGTGGGCCCGCAGGCTCCCCACTAATGCAGGCTCCCCACTAACGTGTGCACGTTGGCAGGCAGCACCAACGACCAACGCCGTATGCATAGATGACCCCCAGCTCTCTCACGCAAAAGACGTTCCTTCCCCGCCCCCCCCCCCCCCCCCGTTTTCCCCTCGGTTAAAAGATGTTTCTTAAATGAGGCTATTTTTCCATTATAATCTATTCAGAACACAACTGAGAGTAGCGCATGGATTTGGAAACGTACTCACTGGAACTGGTTAGCACAGTGCTATTGAGAGACCGGAGGAGAAGCACCGGCTGAGGACCTTGCTCTCTGTAACTTCCCGGCAGTGGGAGCCCCTCTCTGCTGACAGGCAGCCCCAGACGCGTCCGCGGCTCTGTAGCAGGCGTTGTGGAAAAGCCACCTAATTAGCTCTTCTGTTTTGACCTCTGCCTCAAGTTGGAAATGTAATAACCTAACTGAGGGGCATTATTCTTTAAACTGTCAGCTGTGAATTGTCAGCTGTTCATCAGAAACGCTAGTTACCATGGTGACTTGCTGGGTTCTTGCTGAACTCCTGTGCACATTTATTGAAAAAGCTGTCTTTGGAGGTCAGCTCTTGGTCTGCCCTGAAAATCAGAAGAAGTGGGAGTGGTGGGAGTGGGCAGAAATCTATGTTCACTGCTGGCTCTTGGCTGAGGGCTGCACGGAGCAAGGCTCCATAAGGCCCAATGGAAATGATGGCTGTGGGACCGAGAGAGAGCCAAGCTACCAGGGTTGCACGGTGCTCAGAGACCTTGGAGTTAGGGCACAGACGAACGTCTGCATTTGACACCCCCACAAAGCCATATATTAGACATACAGGTAACACTCTAGGAATGAGGACAAAATTAAAATAGACTCATCTTAGCAAAAAAAAAATTAAGCCTGACAGGTTCACAAGGAACTTTTAGAACAAAATTCAACACCTTTAAAGGGAGACCACATAATCTAGACTCCCTGCAAGGTTGGTTTCACCTGTGATGTTCAACATGTAATGGAAAATATCCAGCTTTGTAGAGAATCAGGGAATGTGACCCATAGTCAAGAAAGTTGAAAAAGGCCCAGAAATAAAAATTTTAAAAAGGAAATAGTTCCTGAGATGACCCAGAAGTTGGAATTAGGAAATGAAGTCAGAGGCATCTGTTATATAACTGATCTGGAACTTAAAGGAATAGATGGTCATAATGAGTGAACAATGGGGAATCTCACAAGAGAAATGGAAACTATTCAAAACAAACGAACACTGGCAGTCTAGAACAGAAAAGTACGATATCCGAAATGGGAAATTTCCCTGTTTAGGACGCAGGCAGGCGAGCAAGGGTTGAGTGGGCCATAAAGCTGGAGGGGAGCCTCCCAACTAAGGAACAACCCTGTGTGGTGACCCTAAAGCAGAAATCTACGTGACAGTTTGAGGAACTGAAGGAATGTGAGGGAAGGGAATGTCGGAGAGCCGGGAGAGGCAGGGCTGGCGAAGCTGGGGCAGTGGTGAGGGGCCCATCAGGCAGGGCCTTTACGTCTTCAGGAATTTGCACTTTATCATGGGGGCCCTGGGAAACTCTCAAAGGATTCTGAGGAAGGGAATGGCATGGTCCGATACGTGCTTTTATTTTTATTGATTTCAGAGAGGAAAGGAGAGGAAGAGAGAGATAGAAACATCAATGATGAGAGAGAATCGATTGGCTGCCTCCTGCACGCTCCCTACTAGGGATCAAGCCCGCAACCCAGGCACGTGCCCTTGACCAGAATGGAACCCGGGACCCTGCAGTCCACAGGCCGACGCTCTATCCGCTGAGCCAAACGGGCTGGGCCAGATGTGTGCGTTTATAAACTCGCGTGGGAGGGGTGGGTGACTGACTGCTGCTTTATCTGGAACGCAGGAGCTTCTGTGGCATCCCCAGCAAGAGCCCACTGTGTGCTTTCAGCCCCAGCTTAGCTGCGTCCCGTGGCTGCCCCAACGTTGAGGGGCCGAGGAAAGCAGGCTCAGCTTTCAGCCTCTGCAGTCACGGGGCTGGGGGAGGGGGTGGGGAATGGGGCTGGGTGGCCAGGAGCTGTGTCCCTCCGTTATCTTTAGGGCTTTGTATCTGCACCTGATTTGGCAGCTCTGCGGGCTCCGTGTGCAGCTGGTGGTCTGCTCGGGAACATGGCTGTGGCGCAGCCTTTCATTCACTTAACTTCCAGATTATAAAGACGGTGCCTGATGTGAAAATTACAGGGAGCCCTGGAACAGAAAAATCGCCTCATTAAGGCTGTTCTGTGATGTATTTGATTTTCTCCCCTCACCCCCCACCCGGCGTTTGCTAGGCTTGTCTGCTTTGTGAGACATGAAAAGTGCTTTCAGCCGCACGCTCTGTGGAAGGAGACCTGTGGTGGGAGCAGTGAGGAACAGCTGAGACGTGTGGGAGGAACCTGTGGGCCGCGCTGGAGGGGAGGGGCAGGGAGCCTCACATACAGAAAGTAAAAGGCTCCGAGTGTGGTGGAGCCAACGCCCGGTTCCCGACAGCAGGTGACACCCGGAAGCGACCTTGGCTTCCCATTTGAGCTTTTCTAATAGATCCGTGGGTTTGATTCCTGCGGCTGCCTCCTGTGGCCCCCAGAGGCTGTTTCCTCGCAGGGCCCGGCTCGCGGGCACTATTCCTGGGCTCCTCCTGGTGTTACGATGGACAGAACCACACCCCAATGGTGCTCAGTCCAGCCCACGTTGGTGGTTATAGTTTCCAAGTTTTCAGGAACTCCCTGGCGACTGCGGGGACATGAGCAGGTCCATACCTTTCACTCCTCCCTGCTTGCCCCGATCCGGTCGGTGCTCAGGCCTTTACCTCACCATCTTATTTAACCCTGACATCAGTCCTTTGAGGGTGGTCCTCCTGTTAGTCCCATTTTACTGATGAGGAAACTGAGGCTCACACTGCTAATACGTAACAGCACTGGGATTCCAGTCCGAGTGCCTGAGCTCTTAACGGGCAGTCTGTACCGCGTCTCAGGTCATCTGAATTCACCCATTCTTTCCCCAGATGTTACTGAGTGCCTGGCCAGACCCCGGGCGAGGTGCTCAGAATACAGAAGAGCACAGCGAGGTCCCTGCTCTCATGGAGCTTGGAGGCTAACGTGGGAGACAGTGGCGGACGGGAGCAGCCACAGCCCAGGGGGATCACGCCACCTGCAGGACAGTGCTCGGGAGGCCAGGAGGAGCCCGGGTCTGCCCAGGGGCTGGGAAGGCATCATGGAGGAGGTGAGGAGGCAGGGAGTGCAGGATGTCTGCAAGGGAGCGCTCTGTTCCCTTCCAGACGTGCAGGAAACTCACGCCTCACCGTATTTCTAAGGACAGTTCTGTTGGCCAGAAGCAGAGGGGCAGCCATGAGCCCTTATGAAGTCAGGGGGACGGGAGGTACTAGCCCCCCTTCCCTCCCCCCCATGTGTCTCTTGATTTCACCTGTGACCTTGCCGGTGAAGTAGAGGTGCCTTTGGAAGAATGCACCGGTCCTGTTTGGGCCTGCAAAGAGGGAAGGTAGGGGCTGGAGAGATGGGGAGGCAGGGGAAGTGGGGTGCGAGGCAAGAGCTTGTGGGGAGGCAGAGGAGGAGGATGGAGCAGGAGGAGCAATGGGGCAGGTATGTCTCCAGCCCGCACCCCTGGGGCCTGAGAGTCCCTGACACTTTGGAGCCTTTGGGCAGCCTGGTTCCAGTCCTGAGCCCGGAGTGGCTCGTGAAAGCATCTGGCTTTCTCTGGGAAATTGGGCCTGTTTCCTGGCTGTCTCAGACCCGCCCTCAGCCCCGGAACAGAGGCTGGCTCACAGGTACTGCTAGGAAAGGCCTCCGGTAACAGCAACCCTCACCTGCCCCACCCAGAAAGCGTAGCAGATGGACTGGTCAGTGAGGTTGGCGACTTGGCCCCACCCTGCCTCCTGCCTCCAGGAGAGCTGTGGTCCCTGCCTGGGTCTTCCCATGTGTGCGAACAAGGGCGATATTGGCTGAGGGTGCAAGTTTCTGAGAACCAAGAGGAGCAAGTGAGAAAGGTTTAAGGAGCCGTCAGCTCCTCTGCAGGGTGTTGGGATAAAGGCCGCGAGGACTCGGGCGGAGCCAGATTTCATGTGGCCATGCTCGGCTTCCCTCTTACCAGCCCCGGGGCCTTAAAGCGATTACTGCCTTCATCTCCACCACGTCCCTCTGTGGTCATTCTGGGCTGGGGGTGGCCTCATGCCCCCCCTTGTAACTCCCGAGTGGCGGGGAGCCCCAGCCACTCAGCTCTGGCCCCGGCTGGCACGTTCAGCCCCGAGTGAGCGTCCTGCCGGAATCACTGTCTCTTCTAGAAACAGCAGAGGCTTCTGTCCTGGGATCGGTTCACGCTCCCTGTCGCACGGAGCGAGGGAGCTGTTCGTCTGCTCCTTCTGTGTGATACCTTCTCTCCTCTGTAACCTGCCACTCCCGGATCTTCCCTCTCCTAAGCCTGAGGGTGAACGCAGCTCACCTTCCATCCTGTCCTGTCCTCTCAGCCCTCCTGTGGGGGAGAGGGACGCATGGGCACAGGGGGAGCCATCCCCACCCACCCCTCAAGTCCTGGGGGTGAGAGTGGGCAGGAGTGGGAGGGGGGCCAAGACTCAAGGAAAGTAGGTGCTTGAGGCTGACGGTTCCCAGCACGTCCCAGGCGAGCAGGGGGCTGCCTAGAGCGGGTCAGGCATGTGTCCCCACCCAGCCCCAGCCAGCAGGAAGCAGCTGGGAGCGCCTGCCTGGAAAAGTCACCAGAGTTGGTGCAGGGCTGGGCCTGGCTCTGGGATTAGAAACCTCTGGGGTTTCTAGATGATACAGACGATTAGGTTTCTTCTCCCTAAACACAGCGCCTTCTGCCCACCTCCGAACGTCCACACCGCTGCCCAGTCACAGCCGCGTGGTCTCGATCGGGGCAGCGCTGTGAGCGTGGACTCCAGGGGCAGGGAACTTATTTGCCCCTTGTTGGGGGAAGTGGGGCCGCTGGGT